TATATATATATATATATATATATATATATATATATATATAGCTAAAATACATCAGTTGTAAATATGCAAGAAACTGACAAAAATTAAAAAGAAATTAAGCAAAGCTAGTAGATTATGCAATCTAAACAGTGTGTAATGTGTTTCAAAACCAAAAAAGTTAACTACTTAAGTGCTATAACAGTCATAAAAATGTTTTAATTTTACTTGAAACTGGAAGCAAAAAACAAAACAAAACACTGCTTTAAACGTAACATTGATATTTACAGGTTTTATGATTGTATAAAAAAATATATTAATTGCCGTTTCAATACAAAGTAAATGGAAATAGAATAAATATCCATGTTGTTTCTGCTGCTGTCTGCATTAAATATTTTCACTTTGGGTCATTCCGCTCATTGTGGAGAAACACAAATATAGAAGTTGGATACTAGCAGGTTAATAACTGTAGATATCTGCTTAGGTAGATAACTTTTCAGTCTACTGCTTTGCAGAAATGGTACTTTTATCTAAGCAAATTTTTTTTTTTTTACCAGCGTTACTAAATGAAAAGCTGCGGGGTGTGCTAGTTTAATTTTCACACAAGAACTGCTGCTGTTTTTGTTTAAAAAAAAAAAACTTTAAATAAGAACTTATTCTTTCTTATAAGAATGACAAAAAAATAGAATTTATTTCAGCCAGCTGACCAGCACTGTGCAGCAACATATTATGGGAGGGGAGATACCTTGTTTCTCTTTGATCCATTGGAAAAAAATGTATGAAAGGAAATCTATGAATAAAAAAAGTTAATTTTTTAAAACCTAAATGCATTTTAATAGCTATAATCCCATGTATAACTCTAAATTAGATATTTTTCAAAAATGTATATTATTTGAACCATATTAGACAAGCATGTAAATGCAGGGAATTTCCTAAATGTATGAACTTAAAAAAACATTTGGTCTAGCACCAGCAGACCACCCATGAGAAGAAATTCTGCCTCTATGATCCAAATGTGAAATCCTCCAGTTAAATCCTGTTCCTGTGCCAGAGCCGGTTCCTTCTGCAAAGCCCTCCCTTTCCTTATCCTCTTACATATTTCCTCTCCTCCTGCCCCCCCCCCCCATCCCCTTAATCTATCATGACATCTGTTTTGTGGCATCCCCCAACAAGTATGTTTCTCCATCGTCTGGCGTGGTATGTGGACGCTGATGGACAAATGTCCACTTTCAGAGTTGGAAAAAAACAGAGCAGCCATGCTTGTATGGTTGTTACACTCCTTTAATGTGTGCCAGGAGCATGAGTGCGCATAATTGATCATCCTTACTTTCATCAAAATTGGGAAAATGGGATTTTTATGTGGTGGCTGTGAAGTTGGGATTAAGGTCTGCTGTTTATAATTCAACTAACATGACTTTCACTTATTTCTGCAGCTTGCTTTTTATAGCTATTGTGTGTGTGTGCTTGTCTGGGATGGGCCCTCTTCATAAGATCTCTCAAAACCTTAATTTAATCAAAATTCAAAAGGAGTTTTGTCACAAAATAACATCTGTTTCATTTAGTGAGTAATAAAGAGGACCCATTTGGGGACAGTAAAAATAAAAAAAATCTGACTGAAATGGTCCTTTTTGATCTATAGTGAAATTTAATCTTGATATTTTCTTCCTATTCCAGACGCCGAGTGGATTGCCCACAGTGAACAGCTATGTCACAGCGCCCAGCATCCCTCCCTACCACCCTCCCACCCAAGTGTCACCCTACATGGGGTACAGCGCCACCACGTCGGCTTATGTGACCGGACCCACATGGCAGCCGGCCAGTGGCAGTGCTCTATCTCCCCACAGCTGTGACCTCGCTGCCCCTCTTGCCTTCAAGAGCATGGCAGCAAGCCGTGACGCCATCCACCCCGTCGCCGCGTCGGCACTCTGAGGTCCCCTCCAAGGACTGGAGATGGACGAGGGGAAAGAATAGAAGGGGGCGAGTCGACAGGACATGAGAGGAGACTTCACGTCACATCATTTGGTTTCCACTGCCCCTTTTCTTTAAAGGACTCAGAACTTTAATTTGCTCCACTGAGTGCAGGACGCTCCCCCTCCAACCCTCAGCACAGCGAGGCTAAAGACTCGCAGGGAGTGAACGGTCAATACAACAAACTTGTTGTCTAAAAGCACTTGCAGAACAGGTGTTCTGAAGGGACTGGTGTGTGACCACCACTCCACTCTTCAACACTATTCCTCTCAGACTCTTTGGGCAAAAAAACGGGGTAATGTACAACTTCAGAAATATACAATCAACCTAAGGGAAAACACTTTGCATTAGTGTTTCAGGGTGCTTGTTTAATACTATTGCTTTTTTTTAAAGTTTGTATGCTATTTTTGTTCATGAAAATGGAGCATTACTTTTCCCACTTCACTAAAAGTGTAGCCAGAGAGCTCCACAAAGAAGTCTTATTTATTAGATTAAGGTACGTTGAATGAAGTGCAATTAGTGTTGCAAACTGCATGGGAGTTTCCATGCGCATTTGGACAGAATTGGAATTATGTTGCAGAGCATTATCAATTGACAAATGTTGCACAATGAAATTGAATGTATCTTATTAAATTGTTTGGCTGTTTACTGATTTTCCCTGGGGATTTACTGGGTATTTTTGGAGGGGGGGGGGTGAATTATGATGATGTATGGTACAAATGATCACAGTGAAGATGTTTTTCAGCTTCACTTATCTCTTCTTTGCTAAAGTCAGGGTATTCCGTCCTGATTTCCATGATTAGGAAGCTGCTTTCCATAAACAACAAAAAAAAAAGAGGCAAGCACGCCCTTACAAAGTCTGCGTTTTTGATTTCCATGTGTCATGCCTCATTGGGCAGTTCATCAGAAAGCCTTTGAGTGCACAGAGTTCATAACCGCATAGAGCCGCAGTGGCCAGTAAAACAGTACTCACAGGAGTATTATTTATGCCCTTTATTTTAGTGTAAGACAATAAATCTGTGAAGAAAATACAAAGAATTCCACTAAGAACAGTTATTCTGAAAGGAAAAATGTTCCCAAACAGATTAAAATCATAGAAAATATATTGCCAAGAACCAACAATAATTCAGATTAGGATTTTAATTTATTCTCACACAACCAAGTAGGTTATTTTTCTCATAAGAAATAAGATGGGTACCTCTCAAAAGACAATAAAACGTTTAGAAAAGAATATTGTTTTAGAAAAAAACATTAACTTTAAATTAGAGTTTTAAGAATTATTATCACTTGTCAAATTTTGTATATAGGATCAAAAGTACAGGAAGCGGATCCCTTCTATGGGGGGCAGGCTTGCATTTTCCAACTGGTGTTTTCACGATTTTATCTTTCCTTGCCGTCACCCTTATTTTTAGTTCCCACCAAATTTCCTATTAAATTTAAGTTTGCTCCTAACAACCATTCATATTTATTCCATTGTAAGGCTCTGTTGTTCAAATAAGACAGTTACTATGAACAAAAATCTGCGTATGAATAATTCTAGACCCAGCTGTATATTTTTCATTTAAAACTCTACTAATAATTATATATAAACATTTTGGCAACATAACTTTACAAAATCCTGGAACCAATAAAGCAGGAGAGTCTTCGAAATTAAAATCTGATGTTATCATTTGGAACTTTCATTTTAATTAATGCCGTGATTTTGGCTATTGAAAATAAATTGAACATTTTAGGCTATATGTAAGGAATGTTTGCTGAAAGCTGTTGGAGGCACATTGATAAAGGATGAGGAAGATACCAAGGGGCCGACCGGGGTCTGTTTTGGTGGAGGCTCATTTCCACGTTCATTACTAAAGGAAAGCAAGTGAATATTTTATTTTTTGTAGATGGACACAAAAAAGAAACACTTTATGCAAGTTTCGAAGAAGGGGAAAGTGTGGAGCAATAAATAATTCGGTGAGTCTGGCAAGCCTCGTCTAGCCCTGCAGTGAAAACCAGAGTTTTAAACAAACTGAGCTCCAGCGTAGAGGTGTAGATTGATCTCTTGATAAAGCTGCTCACCTGCTCTCTTTCTCTTCCTCCTATGTTGCTGCTCAGGGAACTTAGGAGGTGTTTCACTTTTTTTTTTTTCACTGTCCGTCCTGTGTTGCAGCATAAACAGTCCCTTTGCGTTGCAGTGTCAACAAGTCCTCCCAATGCAGGAGCTGATTTGACTTGGAAAGCACCTCTCCCCGCATCCAGTGGTCACGGACCGTTGCTCACGGTCGCAGTGTTTGACCGTATGTGAACCACATCGCAGAGGCTGGCCATCACAGCCGTCCTTCTAGCAAAGACAGTCTAACACCAACAGCAAATGACTCTTTCACTTGCAGGAGAGAGTTGCATGTTTAACAAAACATTTCTCTTCACTTCAGAAAAAGACAAGAAATGGCTTTCTTTTACATAAAACATTGGAACTCAACCTAGTTATAGAAAATATTATAATATGTACAAAAACAATCAAGTTTTTAAAAAGGCCCTTGCTGCTCAGGTTTATGGTCTAAGATGTAGTTTTGAAAATAGAGGCCGACACGTGTTTATAATTAATTATGTTGAGTCTGACTTCAGTGTCATATGGTTATCTTTACTTCTCCACATGCAATCAGAAACAAGACAGCCCCGTTTTGCAGAGTAACACAGAGCAGAGAATGTTGACACTGGCTGAAAACAGAGCTCCATGCGTGCTTCTGCTCAGTGAGCACTTTTAAAAGAAGCTGACGACAGCCAGAGTGTTTTCCTAATGCCTTGAAACAACAACATTGACCAGACAGGTGAGCAAAACCTCTAAAACAGAGGAGAAAAGAAAAAAAATCAGCAGAGAAAAACCCCAACATGTCTTTGTGTATGCATGCACCCTCACTGGGGTAGATTTTAGCACACATTAATCACCGACTGTGTTTGCATTGGAAAACACAGGCAGAGCTGCACGCAGATTGCAGGTTTGTCAAAGTGGAGCCACTGAGGTGAAACATTTCATATCAAGACTGAGCATCTTGCTGATTTATGATGCTCGAGATGTGCAGGGAATTCAGGTAAAGGGTGGCTTTGTTGCCTAGCTACCGGCAATTTTGGTACGCATGTTGCAAGCTGTCAGGCCCCAAACAAAAATCTACACTGAACACTTCATTACAGAATGGGCAGGTTAAGCATCTACGATTTCATCAGCCTGCAAGACACAGTTGTTCGTCTGTCACCACATGCCCCTGGGCAAAAAACCGGCGGCCGTTTTAGTTTGGCGCGAAGAAAACTCCCACATTAAGGAAAGCTGTCAAATACCAACGTGGCTCGATTTAAGCTTCTACCAGATGAAGTTATGATAAGTGTCTTCGAGGGCAGTCCCTTCGCCTGCGGCTGTCGAGCAGGTGTGTGTGAGACTGCATATTTGTTGAAAAGATAGGCCGGTAAAGGGAAGGAACGTGTGCAGGAACTCCCCCGGTTGAAATCTGCAGCCACATTAGAATTTTTCTTAAGCGTGTTGTTTTAGCTTGCACTAAAAACTATGCTCACACACGGAAGAGACTGACACTTGGCTGGCAAGCGCAGCTTCTTTGGCTGACAGCTAGTCAAACAACAAAAAGCTAGGATGGCAGAGAGACAAGAAGCGAGTGATGGCGCAGTAAACGCCGGAAAGCTGATATGCTTATATCAGTGCTGAACTGAAACACAAGCAGAGAAGACGGGAGTCTGACAGCAGAAGTCGGCCATTAGGATGGGTCGGTGGGGTGGAAACACTGTTAACAAAGTTAAATGTTTTTTTATTCTTAAAAAAAACATAAACATTTTCTAAAATTTATGTGCAGCGCAATTTTAGACCATTGAAAAGTAAAAAAACATTTCTATAGAGATGGAATTTAATTCAATAAAAAATATTTTATTGATTCAAATGATAATAGTAAAGCATACTTCAGAGATCAAAGTATATATTTGCAACTATAAACACAGTGCCTTGAAAGAGAAGCCATTTTTTGTAAGGGAACCACCATAAACCTTAAAGTAATTTATTGGAATGAATTAACATAACCAAACTTTTGCCAAATGTGGTAAAAAAAAAGGTGGTGTAAAAACTAACACTGCAAGTCATCATATTACCCCTGCAGTGAAAACAGAGTGGTTGCACCATCTTGCTGTGGTAAAATCATTTGTATGGACAGGGAAACAGATTGAGGAGGATAAGGAGATAGATTGAGCCAAGTATAGTGCAATCGTGGAAAAAATATTAAAAGCTGAAAAAGACGTTATTTTTGGAGGTTTAATTTCAAACAGGAGAAAGACCCTAAAGATGCAGCTATAGCTGTGATTGAATGGAGTACAAGTAGTTATTTGCATCTTCAACAACAACTCTAAATTAATTTGACTTATAATAAAAAAAGGACCAAATTTAAGTTTAAGACAAGAAATATTTCTATTAGAAATCACAAAAATTTCACAGTTTCAGATATATTTGTTTTCTAGCCAATTTGAACAAAATTTTCTACAAATAACATTCCCTAGAAAACAAAATGGATCCATCATCTTTTTGTAAAATGTTGTTTTCCATCATTCCAAAACCAGTTGTCTTTATTCTAAAGGTCATGCAAAATTATTGGCTCTAAATCAGATGTATTTAGCCAAACTGAAGTCAAAAATGGCTCTTTGGATTGTAAAGGTTGTAGCCCCCTGGTTTAGATCTGTGAGCCGGGCAAATACCAAACTTTAATTTAATTGACAATCTGTGGAAAAACTTGAACATTGATGTTTATTTTCCATCCATTTGGACAAAGAGTGGGTAGAAATGTCAGCTTTTATAACTGCAAAGCCAGTGGAGACATACCCCAAAATCCTTAACTTACAGTGAAAGGCTCTCCAAAGTGTTGACTGACTGGAGACTTATACAAATACACACTATTTTTTAATGTTGAAAACCCCGTATAATTTTATCTCCACGTCATGATCGGTCTATCACATTAGATGCAAGTTGAATACAATTTTACTAGCTGGATCTGTTAGTATTTGTTAGTATGATTTGGTAACTCTGACTGACCCGAATGTCATATTTTTCACATGGATAAGTACAAAGATCCTTTAGATGCCAAGTGATTTATTTTGTGTCGTCCGTGTGTTCGCAATGGTTTTTTTTCCATAAAACTCACTAATTGGTTTGGACTGATTCCCAGAAGGGATGGGTAAAGAACACAATTCTGTTAAAATAAGAACAACCACATGTTTTAATGACAGAAATTACCTACGCGCTTTAAAAAAAAAAAAGGAGCACAATGAAAACCTCAAGGGGGAAAAGCATCACTGATGTGCAATTCTTTCCGGTGAAGAAACACCAGAAAAGCTGAATATTGTGAAACACTGAGGAAAAAAAAGATTTCTAAGATGTTTTATATTGGCCTGTTGTGTGACTTGTAAACTGTGTCTGTCTAAGTCCAAATTTGAAGTGCATAAAAAAAAGCAAAAAGCATTTAACCCTTTTTACTTAGCATGAGTGATAGTTTACCAGTCAGGGAAAAAAACACGTTTGGTTTATAAAGCCATTTACATCTTAATTTATGGCAGACAGGAAATGGATTATCATGTAAACAACTTCAAAGTTTTTTTTTTTTTACTTTCTTACAGTTTAAAGCTTTAAATATGTTGGTGTTTAAATTCAAAGAGGATCAAAATACTGTAATCATCCACATCGTCTTAACTGTAAGGGAGTTATAGCATCTCAGACGGTGAAAGCCATCACATGATTCTAAGTTTTATTCATTATATTCTGATCAATTTTTAATAAGTGGGAACTGAAAATAAAAACCTCTCATCCAAGATGACTAATATCTCATTTTAACAATGCTCAGATTTACCTGTAAAATGAAACCTGTTGTTCTGATGTGTTTTCTCAACTAACACCAGAGCTTTGTTTACAAAGGTCACTTTATAAAGTCAGTATTTGCTTTGCTTATGCTGGGTTGTTTGATACTGAAAAAAATAATAAGATAAAAAATATAATTAGGTGCAAACTTAATGTGTTAAAAGATTCTATTGAGCAACAGAACTTTATTAGAAATAAGCTCAGCTTTTATTCCTGAGCATGATGGTATTTTGACCAAATATGCTGATTTGGTATCTTTGTAAAATCTTTAAAAATAAAGGCTTTGTGGTCAGTTGGTAAATCTGTTAAACAGGAATAACTTGGGAAACAGAAATGAAAGGCTTTAATTTATCTTCCCTGTTCACCTTATTACCAGTTTTTCTGTAACCAGGCAGACATGTATTCATAGACCAGTAGCATCACCGCTCCACCTGAAACAAAATACGAAACAGTCATCAGAAACCAGGCTTCCTGTACACAAGAAGAGAGTATTAGACAAACGTACTATTAAAGTCTCTTTTCAATGTCTTTGGATATTGATTAGAAGATTTTAAATATCAGACATATACAAAGTCAGGCAGAATGGTTGGAATTAAAGATTTGTAAGAAAAATACAGGAAAAAAACAGCTTTGTGCGGATTTCAGAACTCTGCAGGCTAAATAAACAAGGGAAACTCTCTGATTTTGTTAAAAAATAAACTCAAAATGCATCAATTTTTTTAGTTTATAAAGAGCCGGAATGTGTGGAAAAGCTGCTCTGGTTGTATATGATCACAATGTAAATGTTTGGCCTGAATGTAAATCCCGAAACATTAAAATATGTCCCGAAAACAACATTTTCAATTTTGATGCAATATTGTTATTGCAGCTCTGAGTTTTGGCCGATACTAACTCTGACCTGATAAGAGATCAGAACGAACCACAAATATCATTATTACCAATTTCATAGCATTAATGTTAGGAAAGGATTGATCAAGTAATATTGCTTTTATATTACATAAATATTACATAGCCAACCACAACAGGAATGAGAAAAATTCATGTGTTGAGGAAGGACATCCTTCCTCAACACTCTGTATGGCCAGCATTTTAAAACATGACAGTGGCAGCATCATATTGAGGGGATATTTTATTTTATGGACAAAGTAGAGTCAACAGAAAGATTGATGGAGACTTGATAGCACTGAGGAGGTTCTCCTCCCGGCAGGACAACAACCCTAATTATCCTACTGGAGCTCCTGGCTGATGTTCAAAAACACTCCATCCAATCTAATTGTTTTTGAACTATTTCTCATGGAGGAATGCACACATATTTCATTTCTGAAAGGTGGTCTATCACACCAACATAAGACTGGAATATTCTACAAAGCATTGGCTCAGAGGGGACTGAATGCTAATGCTCAACACTTGCAATTGTTTTCTAAGTAGAAATTTGGATAACAATCTTTTATTCTTCATAATTATGCATTAACTTGTGTCAGACTGTGAAGTAAACTCTGAAGAGCATTCACTGAAGTTTGGAGTTGTAAAATGATGTCATGTTAAAATTAGGTACTGTGCAAGAAACTATTAGACAAGTATGGGAAATGTATAGAAATTGATAACATCAAATTTTGGTTAGTTGTGAAATATGATTCAGATTAGTATACAAAAGAGAGATAGACATCCCTGTTATGACTACAGGTTGCTGGAAATCTGCAAGAAAATTCCCAAATAAGATGTTGGAGTGTATGTGTGGATGTGTTTTACCTGCAATGTGGGGACAATATTTTATAAAATATCCTACATGTTGGGACTTACAGGTACATATGGGGACATTCAACTGGTCCCCATATGGTATAGTTCTGTCCTGTGAGTTAGGGTTAGGGGTGTAAATCACATCCATCATGACGATTCGATTCAGTATCGATTTCCTGACCCAACGATTCGATTATTTTCGATACTCAAGAATACACCACGATTCGATTCGATTAATCGATTAATCGGTTAAAATTTTTTTTATTATTAGTATTTTTTACAGGCTAAACAAAGTTTCAAGTTTGAAATAAATCAATGAAAGTTGTAATATCGTTATGCATTTTTTTTTTTAGAAACAACAGCAAATAACAGAAGTAGAAAATTTGCATAAAAAAATACTGCAAAAATACTCTACAAAATCAGTGCAATGAGTTCAATGAAATACCTCGGCTCCAGAGTGTCGACGGCCGAGAGACGCTCTGCTGCTCCTCTCCCAAATTGTAGCTGACCGCAAACAGTGCTGCAGAGGCCAGCTTGTTTTGTTTTTATGACCGAAATTGCGGAAAACAAGTCGTGAAGTTTGACCTGCTAGAAGAGCGAGGTGCGCGAGAACGCTGAGACACTTTTTCCACCTGGATCTCCGCTCTTTTTGGCCCTCATGTCCCTCCGTCGTCAGACTAAACTCGCTCCCACTTCCTCACCGCCTCGGCCGTATCTAGACCCACATGTGTGTAGCACAGACCACGCTTTAATATTGAGCATAATTAAAAAATGTCTGTGTCAAGCTTGCTGCAATACACTGCTGTAAGAGTATAACCAGGAAGCGCGGTAGGAGGGCAAAATAGGTTTAGCGCCACCGCAGCACGGGAGGGAGAATTACGCCCAGGAGCAAATGGATAAAAATAGACCGGAGGAAAAAAAAAACATGATTCGATTCTCTTGCGGATGTGTCGATGCATCGGATCGTCGGCTGTTGGATCGACGCATCGATACAAAACCATTATTATTTACACCCCTAGTTAGGGTTAGGTATATGTTGGTAATAGTTGGGGTTAGGGTAAGGGTCTGGGTTAGGCCATATAAAATGAATGAAAGTCAATGGAATGTCCCCATATGTCATGAAAATACAGCTTTGTGTGTGTATGTGTGTGTGTGGGTGTGTGTGTGTAAACTGTCACTGAAAGTTTTTACCTGGTCCAAGTCTCATAATCTTGGGAACCAACCCCTTGTATAGAGCCAGGTAACTGCAATAAAAGAGGTACAATGTGTTCAGTTATTCATAGACAAAAATGAGAAAGTTTTTTCCCAATTCTGCCTTTTTTCAAGAAATGTCTCTATGTTTTATTTGTTGATATCAAACAGGAAATAAAACAATCAGCAATTAGATTATTAGGTATTTAAATTGGTTTAATTGTAACAAAAGCAGATTTATCCTTAAGAGATGAAACATCAAAACAACAAAATCATTTATTTCATTATAAGATTTATCAATCTGAGAAGAACCAGTCTGAAACATGTTTCTCATGTTTATGTTGATTGATCTCGCCTTGCTTTCCGTCCGTCTCCTTGCCGGCATATCTGTCACCCCATCGGCGACTAACCGGCAGCCTTGCAGAGTACCTGCACCTTAATGCGTTCAAGGTGATCAGTGGCTGCCTGCCTCTGCCTCGTGCTCCCTGTCCTGTTCCCTGCCCCCGCCATTGATGGCGTTAATAAGGCTCGACCCACTTCCTCCCTAGCCCTGTGTCTGATTAGATTGACCCGTGGAGCGCCGCGCGGCTCGTTAGGGTCTGCTTAACGATGTCTCCCATAGGGACCACTAATTAGCTGAGACTGTGTTGTGTTAAAGGAAGGGGACTGGATGTGGCGCAGGGGGCACAGTTTGTGTACGCCTGCCACAAGGTTGCAGTGCCATTCAGGCCACTACCCCCACCTCATCTATAAACTAACAACATCCACTAACGACAAACATCTCTTGGGGTCTTGTCTCACAGAGCGGCATGGGGGCAAAACAGAAAGCCTGAGGCAACTGCTACCATAACATACATCTTTTCTTGAAGCCTCTATTTGGAGCTGTCATTCTCTGAGGCTGGAATATATGTTCACAGTTATTACAGGAATGGTAAACTGCTGCAATAACTGATGAAACAGAGTTTACAGGATTTAAAATCTGTGTCTTATGGTTTGGATTAAATGTATAGTTCAGAAACGTAAGGTGGTGTTAAAAGCTTATAAACAATCAATATGTTTCTAGTATATTTTTTGCAGCTCAAACATTGATTGTGGCTGAAACTTCTGGCAAAACAACTGGAGTGAATAAATATATGTTAATTGCAAATCAAAAGGAGAAAGCTTTAGTTTTCAGTTAAAAGGGTTTAGTTTTTTTTTTTTATTTTACAAAATCTATCAATCACACCATCTATGAACATATCATCCAAAGCCTTGGTAATCATGCTGTATGCAGATGGGTCTATAGAGAGATGACGCTTTACTTGTGGCTTCAGGAGAAGCATGTTAAACATGCATCAAACATAAATGGTATTATGCCTGTGATCAGTGTTTGTAAGTTTCTTTATTAACTTATAAATGACAAACATGTAAGATACTGCTTTCAAATTAAAATCCTCTTATCACTAATTGAAAGGCCTGGAAGACAGACCTGGTATCCCAACAGATACGCAACAAACCCAAGCAGAGAGTGGCATTAAGGCTCTTCCTGGCTGCCGGACTGCCTGACCTTCCTCACTGCAATGTGTCCAACCTTTTCCGGGCTTTTTCGGTATTTCAAAGTGCCTCAATCTATATTAGTACAGTTTAAGAAGCAGATTAATAAGCTTATATTCTCCCATTCTTTGAAAGAGGAAGGGGTATTTATGAGTAAATTGTTGAATTTAAGGCAGTCGTCTGAAATTCCAGTCCTTCAGGGTCCGTGTTGAACAACTTTTAGCTGACTGCACCCCTTACACACCTGACTCCAAGATCAGCTCATTAGCAGAGCTTTGCATAGCTTAACTGCATGCTAGTGAGGCAGTTTAACCATTTGATTCAGGTGTATAGGGCAAGGAGCAGCTCTAAACGTTGCAGGACAACCGAGACTTAAAGGTTTGAGCTCGGCATCCCTGGTTTAAAGGTTAGGATTGGCACAAACTATTCTAACGCTGTGGAAAGTGGAGGGTTTTTTTATGCAATAGAAGTCCACTTCAGTTTCAACCCTTTTTGAAATTACCATTACTTTCACTCTCTGGTGCCAACTACTCAAAATGTATTCTAAATGAAGAAGCTGCAGGTAAGTTCTAAACTAATCTTTTAAAAGAAGCTGAAATTTAGTGTAGAGTGTAAAATGCTAATCACAAAAGAATAAAGAAATATCGGCTTTGTTTTACATGCTGCTCGTACCCCTCTTCGCGGGACACCAACGCCATGGTCTGGAAGCAGGTGCGGTACTTGATCTCTCCTGGTATTGGCTGGGGGCCTTGAATGCGGCTCTTTGCTACGTCGAAGGGAATATTCACACATGAGGAGATGGTTCCCGACATCAGGCCAATTGTAAATTTCCTCAGGAACTCTAATGTGGGGTCCTGTTTAGAAGATAAAGTGGAAACTTATTATCTTGACAAGCAAAATTTTCCATATCTAACAGTGAGCTTGGAAAGCTTTATCTAAAACTTAAATATATAATTGCTGACAGAAGACAAAGATGACAGTGTTAAAAAAATAAAGCAACAGTTAGTTGACACTCATAGTAATTTGACACTGCGTATATTTTTACACTAGAGTGAAAGTGAAACAGAGTTGATGGGTCCGGAGCGTATGATTGCAAAGCTGGCATGAAAGCCCTGATCATTTTATGGTAGTAAAGGAGGGAGAGGGGGGTGGTTGGAGGGGCAGATATTTGCTTCCTGACTGTGGTGCAGCGTTATGATTGGCTGAGCAGAACCACATGTTCTTTGGATAGCCAAGACGGAGGATTTATAAACAGGGTTCATGCAGGCAGACTAGGGAGGCATATGGGGACAATTTGGGTAATTGGGCTTTGACTCGGCACAGGGGTATTACTGTACCAAAGAAGCCCAGACTAGAAGAGCTCTGACAGCTAATTGGCCAGGATATTTTTACAAATGACAGCAGCCTCTCCGGTCCAGGGCTTTCTCAAGCGGCTGGACACCCCAAGAGCTGTGGTAAATCAACATCTAATCCCACTTCTTCTCTTTTTTTCAAGTGGGATAGGGGTAAAGGATAGGGTGAGGGGTGGGTGTGGGTGGTGGTATAGCCACGGCCTAAGTACACCCATCAACCCACTTCCTAACAGCCTTAGGCAAACATCTCCTCACACATCCTCTAGTGAATGATGGCAGTGTGCTATCTGCCTCCTATGTGCTATTCAAATGTCCGTACAGCAGGAGCCTGGGCTCGGTAATCTGAATTTGACTATTAACACGATTGACTTGAAAGCTCATTGCTCATGTTGCTGACATGTTGTAGCAATGGACACATCAGTTCAGGTCACCAATATACACACACTTACAGTACAAGTGAACTACTTTTGAAACATAATAACCACAAACTTTAATATGTTAGTGTAAAAAAGTGAGGTTGAGTACAAAAGAAAAAAAGGGCTTTAAAAGAGAAAATCTGAAAAGGTATTGTTCTTATATCTCAGGATGTTCAAATTCAACCAGGGCTGCCTAATAAGTAAACAATATCCTTATTTAATTAACTTAATCTTAGTATAAATTAGGGCTGGACAATCAATTCCATTTGCAATTCACAGTTTTGAGAAATGTCATTTTCGAACTGCACATGCACTCAATGTTGAGTCGTTTTACATTTAACAAGAGTAAAACACTCCATTTCTCACTGCAACACTTTAGATAGTGATGATACTCTTAAAATGGGTTTACTGCCACACAGAAGGGAAGAAAGTGCTGCAGCTAGTGTGCAGATTCATGCCGGTTAAAAGCTCTTGTGACAACAGACTTTGGCCATCAGAACAGAAGGCAAACATGTATGTGTTTGTGGTAATGCAGAGGAAAATTGTTATAAAATCGCAACTTTGTTTCAAAAATAAAACAACAAGAAAATTTTTTGGAAGCTCACACAGCTCTATTATAATTCCAGCTGTTCTTGGTCTAAGAGTTTTCTTAGAGGACATTAGTAGAACAGATTCAAAGAAGATAAAGTAATGCAGCGGACTAGTCAGTTTAAGCTTGAAAAGGGATTAATTAAAAAAACATCCCAGGCTTTGTACATCTTACTCAGTAATGTTTAATCCAACATCCAAAAATGCAAAGTGTTGGACACAATTCCACACCTAACAAGAGATGGCTGTCCACCTAAATTGACCTTAAAGGACAGCTTTTAGATTTACATTTCACACATCTGATAAAAAGATGAAAGCTATAACTGAGGAAGGAGAAAGAGCAAACATGTGGAAGATGCTCCAGTCAGATTACACCAAAATGGTACTTTTGGCCTATTTGCAAAATGCTGTTTTACATATAAACCTGAAAACAAAAACAATGTGAAGCAGAGGAGCAAAACTGAACATCACCATCAACATCACGCACAATGAAACATGGTGTGTGCAGCGTGGAACTAAAGGAATAATTTTGTTTAGTCAAGACAGGTTACCTGCTCTGGGATAATGAGATTACGCTAAATTCAGTGAATGTTTTAGCTTAAAAGATATTTGTGTAGTAGAGTGGCTTAGTAAAAGTCCAGTTTGAAATCTAGAAGACAATACTTAGAGAGACAGGAAATGTCACCTTCACAGATGATCTCCACCTAAGCCGAGTTAGCAAAAAAGGAAAAAAACAAACAAAACAGATTTTAGTCTCTAGATGTGCAAAAACTGAAAGAGATGCATCCAAAAAGCCACGGAAAATATGTATGCCTAATATTTGACTTTGTCATATTCTAGAAAACAGAGAGAAATTTGATCTGAAAAAAAAAATCAAAGTTCAAGAGGTATGAATTCATTTTAAAGTGATATTTTTAAAAGTTCGCACTTTCATTGGCCTGAATAACTGCAGTACACATACAATTGGATGAGAAATGGCCATAACCTAAGAAGAAAGTTATTCTAGTCACCCAGCCACATAATTATTATTCACAGAGAATGCCCACTTCGTCGTACATTATGCAGTTTTGGAAAAATGTTGAAAATATAACAGCAGGGCCTCCCACTGTAACCCCTCGAAAATAGTACGGTTGTCTGCTTCCAATTAGTTCATTGGACTTCTAATCTAATGCTCTGGTTTGTACATGTGGAAGTGGCGTATGGTAACGTTTCCATTAAACAAAATTAACTTTTGTTTGGGCCATCAGGCACTGCCGGATGTGTAATCTGAAACTTTGAGGATGTTATGAAGAGCAAACAGACGAGGTATTAGCAGAGCTGATCTTGGAAGCTCCTTTCTGATTTCTGCTTCCTCCGTGCCGTGCAAGCTAATCATACTGTTAAACACTTGTTATTCTCCTGCAGCAATGTGGCTAGGACATGTGAGGATCACAGAGGCTGAGGTTAGCCAAATGTAGGCAGAGTCAGGAAAGGTTAGGAGGCACTGAAGCGCAGCAGCAGGAGTATGCCACAGGGAAAAAAAACTTAAAGCAGCACAGATTTTTCACTTGCATATTACCGGGCTGGTGGGAATAGCATCCTTGACATTAAAGTAGAAGCCAAAGTAGATCATGTTGAAAACTCCATGGCGTCCCAGTGTTGATGTTAATCCTTTATTCAGACCTCTCAGTCCAAAACCATCTGACTTGATTATATACCGTGCTTGGGCAAAAGCAGAGGGTTGCTGCAGAGTACAGAAAATAAAGGCGTCTTGTCAAAGAGCTACAAGGAAAATGTGAACATGTAGCAGCACTTTTTACAAGTTAAATGCGTATTTTGTTCCACTCTACCTCTTTGAAGGAATCTCTGTTGGCCTGCAGACTGACTTTCACCACTTCGAATGGATTGACAACAACAGCCTCAGTCAAGCCTGAGCCGAGGCCTGCTGCAGACAATGCCTGGAGGGAAGATGGACATGATTTAAACCCAAGGATAAGAGGATAATATTTGGGTATGGGTGTAGCAGAACAAAGGAACTGTTGCAGGTGACTTTCGAAACCTCAACGGTGAAGTGCTGTTTCAAGAACTCGTTCTGTTTTTTGTTTTGTTTTTTGTGTGTGTGTCATTTTTCTTTTTAAAAATGCAAATGCGTATGCGTCATGGTTGTCAGTGTCATTGTCAGACAAATGGCTGCAAAAACACACAAGACACCTGAGGGTGTTAGTTGACAATATGTTTGATGTTATCTGTTGGGTGAAAGGAAGGAGAATGAAAGAAAGCAAGACTGCTGCAGTTTCAAGTAATTCATAATTAAGAAGGCTTGTACAGTTTTTATTATCTAATATACCTGTTATATGATAAAAAATGAAATTTACACTGGGCTTTGCATTTCTGTGTGTTTGTGTGTCTTCATGTGCAAATGTATACCAATGCATGCTCAGCAAGAGGCGTAATGGGAACATGTCGAGAACGTGTCTGTAGCTCATTACTCTTCCTACTTCTTTATCCTGCTGTCAGAGCCGCAGGACCCATCCTCTCAGACATGCCTCGTGATGTTTACACAGCCAGGCGGCCATGTTTTAATTGCCTATTTGTATTATTACTGTGCGTGTCCTCATTAATCAGAGTGAAGGCATTCAGCAGTACCATGCTAACTAGGATATGGAGAAAGAGTTCTAATATCTACAGTAATAAAATTGCATAAATGATCTGTAGTGATTACAATGCTTGATATAGACAGACCTCAGAGGGATTTATTAGTTGACAGGTCCAATGAAGGAAGAGGTGTAAGAGAAGTGGAACAAGAGCATGGATAAGGTAGGTAAACATTTATCCTCCATTGGATATAAAACTAGCAAATGCGTTCTCTGTGCAGATGTAGCTTTGATTTGGCCTTACAGGTAAGAATCCATTACGGCAAGCAAATTGCAACAATATTGTGGCATTTGATAACCCCACCTTGGCAAGTTAAATCTAATATTATTCAAAACTGAGCCACCATGAAGTTTAGTTTAATATCTCGTAATAAGAACCGCCCTCATGGCAGAAAACATCAACACTAAAAAAATTAATATTTATTTAGACTTTAAAAGCCATTTTGGTCAAACTGAAAATCTACACTTTGGTAAAGTGAAGAAAATAAGTATTTGAACACCCTACTATTTAGCAAGTTCTCACATACATGTTTGAACACCTTTCTATCAGCTAGAATTCTGACCCTCAAAGACCTGATAGTCTGCCTTCAAACTCTGCACCTCCACTCCATTTATTATCCTAAATTAAATGCACCTGTTTGAGGACGTTAGCCACAAAAGGACACCTATCCACCCCATACAATCAGTGAGAATCCAACTACCAACATGGCCAGAACCAAAGAGCTGTCCAAAGACACTAAAATTTAAACCTCCACAAAGCTGAAAAAGGCTAAAGGAAAATTGCCAAGCAGCCTGGAGAAAAAAGGGCCACTGTTGGAGCAATCATTAGAAAATGGAGGAAGCTAAACATGACTGTCAATCTGCCTCGGACTGGGTTACATGCAAGATCTCACCTTGTGGAGTCTCAATGATCCTAGGAAAGGTGAGAAATCAGACCAGAACTATGAGGGAGGAGCTGGACAATGATCTGAAAAGAGCTGGAACCAGCGTTTCCAAGGTTACTGTTGGTAATACACTAAGAGGTCATGGTTAGAAATCTTGCATGGCACGGAAGGTTCCCCTGCTTAAACCACCAAATATCAAGGCTCGTCTAAAGTTTGTCATTGACCATTTGGATGATGAGGCTGGGTCTTCCAACATGATAATGCCCTGAATCACACAGCCAGGATAACCAAGGAGTGGTTCTGTAAGAAGCACATCAAGTTCTGACATGGTCTAGCCAGTTTCCAGACCTAAACCCAATAGAGAATTTTTGGAGGGAGATGAAATTCAGCGTTTCTCAGCAACAGCCCAGAAACTTGACTGATCTAGAGACGATCTGTGTGAAGGAGTGGGCCAAAATCCCTCCTGCAGTCTGTGCAAACCTGGTGAAAAACTATAGGAAACGTTTGACCTCTGCAATTGCAAACAAATAGGACTGTACCAAGTATTAAGACAGAATTTCTCTGCTGTTTAAATACTTATTTGTTGCTTTTTTTATACAAATAAATATTTTTTTTAAAAAATCATACATTGTGATTTCATGTTTTTTTTTCCTTTTTTAGATTATGTCTCTCACAGTGGACATGCACCTATGATGATAATTTCAGGCCCCTCCATGATTTCTTAGTGGGAGAACTTTCAAAAACTGCAGGGTTTTAAAATACTTGTTTTCCTCATTTTATGTCTGGTTTATAAAGGAAAACAATTATACAGTGTATACAAAATTTTTTTTTTTTCCCACATTAAGTTATGTCTCAGCCTGGTTCTACTTGGTTTCAAATTAATCTATTTCCTCAAAATTGTATACACAACATTCCAATCCAAAATGTGGGGAAAAAAATTCTTAATTGTTGTAAATTCATTAAGAACAGAAAACTAAGAAACCACATTTAAGTAACTTTTCACAGCCATTCCCTTGTATTTAGTTATTCCACCATTTGCAGCAATTGTAGCTTCATTTTTCTCTATTAGGTTGGACAGGAGATAACTGTGCATATCTATTTTCATTTGGATTTAAGTCTGGACTGTGGTTTGGCCTTCATGAATTTCACAGTGGTTGGCTTTGTGCTATGGGTCGCTGTCCTAGTCCCTGGAGCAGGTCTTCATCCGTGGTTGACAGTCATGAAGGCTTTGCTCTCTCCTCACAAGAGTACTGGAACTCTGACAGAATAACCATAAGGGTTCTTGGTCCCTGCCGTGAATAAAGCCCCTCTCCCCCAATCACTAAGGTCAGATAGCTGAACTATTCTAGGAAGAATCCAGGTTTCAAACTCCTTCCCCTTATAAATAATGAAGGTCATTGTACTCATTAGGAGCTTCAAAGTAAGAGACAATTCAGCCTCTAGAGGTTTACAGACAATTTATCCAACCCCATGGTTAGTGTTTGTTCTCTGACATCCACTGTCAAATGAATGACCTTATATAGAAAGCTGTGTCTTTCCTAATCATGTCCAGTTAAGTTAATTTGCCACAGGTGTAGTCTTTTTAGGCTCCATGAACATCTAAAGCAGGCATCCCCAAAGTCGGTCCTTGAGTGCGGTTGTCCTGCAGGTTTTAGAGGTTTCCCTGCTCCAGCACAGATGATTTGCATTATTAGTTGATTAACAGGCTTTTTCTGCAATCATCAGCATCAGCTGTGCTAAAGCAGAGAAACCTCTAAAACCTGCAGGACAGTGGCCCTCGAGGACTGACTTTTTAGGATGCCTGATCTAAAGTATGAATAGTGGAGACAGTATGCACTTCAGCTCAATTCTGACGGTCACTGTAAAAACTGAGATTAGTTAAAAAAAATTTGATTACTTAGTTTTCCATTTTCTATAAATTTGCAGCAAAAAAAAAATTAAAAATAAATAAAATGTTTACATTTTCACAGTGGAAATAAAGATGGGAAAAGATAAGGCACTGTGAATACTTCCGGGATGCACTGTATATAAAAACATAAGGCAGAATCTGCAGAGCAAGCCAAAGCCTGATCTTTCAAGAGATCCTAGAGTTTTTCTAGGATATAAAAAAATTAAGGTTTGATTAGGTTCTGCAGGAGTCTCTCCCCTTGAAATGTTTGTATGTTTGGTTACATTAAAACTAGTTACTTTAATGTAGTTCATTGGATTTTATGTGATAGCCCAACATAAAGAACATAACTATAAGGCCAAATGAAACTGGCAGCTTTTCAAGGTTTTTTGAGGAATAAAATCCTGAACAGTGTGGTGAGAATTCCAACCTAGAGAGTCAATACTTTGCAGAACTCTCTGTCACAGCTATTACAACAGCAAGGGTTTTAGGAGATAAAACAGAACAAAACTCAGACATTTCTGCCCTTTCTACTTTCACTAATCTTCCCCTCACCTCTTCTTTGTCCCTTTTAAACCAAATCATCCCCATCGGCCTGATGCATGTTTTACATTAGTGATGGCAGTTTGGGGTGTTAGTTTACCATCAGACATAGTCATTTGCATGTAGGCCAATGAGAATTTTGGTCTCATCAAAATAAACACGTTCTTCCATGTGTTTGCTGCGTTATCTGAAGCCAAGATCAAATATGTCTTTCTTTCAATAATTTCTTTGTGCAACACTAGGTCGGAGTGATAAAAAAAGGAAAATAAAATCTTTTGAAGTACCTCACCAACAGCTGTCCTTTCAACTGATTATTTTAAGTTTAACTAAGGTCCCTACAGCTCCTCTCGAGTTGGAATGTGTAATGTTGTCCTTACTTGCTTTGTTAAATGTACAGCCATGTCTTGGCTTTAAACTTCAGGTAACTTTACGTTTCATTTCTCTGCTGTGAACCTCGGTTTTCATGATGCCATTTTTTCCCTAATTTTCTAAAACAAATCTCTGAAGCTTTTAAAGAAAAGACAGATTTGGGTTTGGATTCAATTACACACAGGAGGACTGCCTACAAATCAGATGCAGTTTTAATGTAAATTGATCCCTTTAATAAAGGGATCACAAAAATATCTTACACTTGTCAGATTTTTCTTAAAGATATTCAAAAACCCATTTATGCTTTTTTCTACTTGTGAATATTTTTATTTCCAAAATAGCCCTGATAAACGCTCTTACTGCTAATCTGTTGATTATCATGAAGGTAACTAACTAAAGCCAAATTATAAACAAAACTCCATAAGCCCCATAACAGGCCAACAGATTGCATGTTTACCATTTCTCTTCCAAGACTTCCCTGAGTTTTGGCTTGGAAAAAAACAAAACAAAACAATAACCATGAATTTTAAACAACAATCAACCTCACAGGTTTGATTTTGCAACTTATTAATATGTTGAAACACTTACTATATCTTTACAGGCTATTATCTATTTTTACTAAACACTATTAGGCCTGGCATTTCTGAATGTCTGTCAGTCATCAAGGATGCTTTCTTAGTGCTTAACATTTAACAAAGGTTGTATTCAAGGCTTTTGTTGGTTGATCCCTACTTAGAGATATTTCTGTTTGTCCAGTGCCATCTAATATGTCTCGATGCCTTATAAAAGAAAAGCAGTGCTGTATTGGATATAAAAAAAAAAATAAGTATACTTAAAATAAACTACCAAGCGTCTACAAGGAGCTGTGTCAATAGATGTATAATGCCAAGAAATGTAATAACCTAGAATGAGCAAGATGGTCATGCAGTTATGCATTACGTATTCTTGAAGCACCACTAAAGGTTGAATATTAAGAAGAATATTTGCACTAACATGAAGTATTATTCCTGCTAAAATTCTTCATGTTTGTTTAAACAGACGTTTGGCAGGTAAGCAGAGCTCAGCTGAACTATTCTTCCTGGTTCTCTGTGTGCGTTTATTATTTTTTTAAGCAACGGTGTACTTAGGTGCTGCTGTTTGGCAGACTCACCAAACCCGGAGACAAAGGGCTCAGACTCAGCAACTTCTTGTACTGCTCAAAGGTGAAAAACTGCAGAGGAAAAATGAGGATTAGCAAGCAACAACATCTACATACAGTACGGACAGAGACGCATCTAATTCATCTTTATTCCAGGAACAGAAACTGATCTTAAATCTTGTCATGTCTTTTTGCTTCTAAGGGGTTTGAATATGATGTTGCATAGAGGCCCATTTCTCTCAGCCACCCTCTGGGCTGGATGAGGAACTATACTCATCTTCTTATCTAAAGGGTTAAAAATATTCTCAAAACAATTAACTGTAAGATAACTGCAGCAAATATCTGCATCTTAGTGGACCAGATTGATACAAATGCAATAAACGAGTTGTTTGGAAACAAACCATTTTCTGTCCTTCACATATAACTGCGTAATAGGTTACTAACAATCAAGTTGGATCTAAACTGGAACCATGTGATTTGGTCAGACTTGAGATTTGAAGTGGGTTTGCCTTGAAACAGAGGATGATTATTTGTAAAGATAAACAGTACCAGTGTTAGTACGATCATATGCATTTAAAAATGGAACTTCAAATCTTAGATAGACAGTACTAGAAAGCATCTTTATTGATTTGTGATCATCTGTGCCAAAGAGCAGCCATTTGCTTTAACATTTTCACCATTAGCTGGTTTTGTTTGCAGTGTGAGCGATTACTCCTTTCTCCCAGTGTGAGCGTTTATTTATAAAGTTCACTTTGTCTCCAGCATCTCATTACAGAGAGGTGTAGTGCCAAATCGCGCTCTCCCCCTGCACCCCGTGCCCCAGTTTAACCTTGGACGAGTAATTCTGCCCTCAAAAGATGATGCTTATAGGATGGCTTACAGCAAATGCTTGTAAGTCAATATTTGGTTGGTGAAAAAAGAGCAAACAGGAGTGTCTACAGAGGCAGACATGGTTGAGGGCGTTATGTGTTTAATCAACACGTGCGTATCATGTAAGAGCAGTTTGAGTGTTTTCATATGGCAGTAGAGCTGTGCACAATGAAACCAGATCCAGATCCTTGCGTGACATCCTGAGAGGCTTTTCAGCTTTCAAAAGGCAAACACACACATCCTTTGTCCTACCTTCACTGCTCGCTTTGGGGTCTCTGCCAGGATCGGAGGCAGGATTCCCTTGTAGAAGCCAAAGATCCTGCAGGAAGAGAAAAAAACAAATCTTTGTCTCTTAATTAATCACCACACAAATAACCTTAAACAAAGTTTGATTTATGACCAAGAGTGTCAGTTCAACATTTACTTTAAATTTCACATCAGCAAGCAGGCTTTGAGGAGGACTAATTTAAATCCAGATGAATCAGATTTCATTATTGCTTGTTTAATATATAGACCCAATTTAAACAGAAGCTTGGTGGACATTATGAGAACTGAATACAAAAGCAGAAAGCTTTCTCTGTTTAAACTTGTTTTGAGAGTTTTATGCGGCTCCCTCTCAGAGCATCAATTGCTGGTTAGGTCAAATGGCATTTCTAAATCTGCAGTAGGAAATGCCCCTTCTCATGTTTACAAAGTGTAGGTTTAACCTGCCTTATTAGTATGCGTTTAGTTGATAAGAATACCAGATGGAAGATGACCATAGTTGACACTATAAACCAGACAAAAAAAGTATTTCAATTGAGTGATGATCTTTTCTATGCTGATCACCTGCTCCACCGTCACACTTTGTCAAAAATGCTGATTGCACTTATTCTATGGCGATGAAAAATGCTGATTAATTTCCACAGATGGAAGCAGTTTGTACCTCTTATTGCAATATGCAACCATTTTCCTCTTCAAGATCTATATATGACTTTTCAGCCACCGAAACAGATGGTATAGTCGTAATAGAGTTGCAGAAAAACATTTCCTCAAAAGGAGCACCATGTTCAGATGAAATAAGATGTTCTGCACGGCTAAAAAACTGAAAACCTGGAACATATTCAGGACAGCATTTCTAAATGAGTAGTGGTCTAAATGTGTTGTTAAACATTTCAACTTGTTAACTAAAGATTAGGCGCCAAGTAAAATTACCTTTTATTAGGTAGGAAAATAATTAAATGTAGCCAATACAATTATGTACTCTTAAAAAGTTAGCCCTTTGAATAATAATGAGAGGTGTTATTTAAATAGTTGATGCACGTTCACCAGTCTTCTTATATGGAACACCAAATGGTTATTTAAGTACCTAACATTTTTTTTCTGTATTAAAATTACAATGACCTTTTAAAATAAAAAATCCTGCTTAAAAAAAATCTATAATCTTAATATGTGTGTTAAAAACAGAACTGATATTTGATTGCAATTACATCATTTGTGCAGTAAATAGAAAAATGTTCTTATTATAAGCTATGTAAAATGCAGACGTGTAAATGGCAAATGGTCTAAACTTACAGTTAAGACAAACTGGAATATTATTTTAAAATAAGGATTTGGGTTCAACCAGAGAAAGCCTTTGCTCATTTCCTCCACTGTATCTACCTCAACTCTGCAGTAACTTCAACTAGCTGTCAAGAAAATCCAATATTCACACACTTTTAAGGTCATATTGGAGCCTTTTTCAGAGATTCTAAATCTACAAATAATAAAAATGCAAAGAAGGGCTTTTATAAATGACAAAAAACAACAAAAAAATATCATGACCTGGATTATACCATCCTACTTCTCCAGCCTCCACCGCCGTACATCAGCGTTGAGCCACAGAGGACACTATAATTCTTGTATACTTCAGCTAAGAAGACCGGAACAGTAAGTAAATCATGGTGGTTTGGAAGCATGACTACTGAGACATATTTCTAAACCACAAACCTAAGTAAACAAGTTCTTCAGGTGTATGACGAGGAAACGATTCAACAGTACTTTCAGAATATGATATACTGGACATTTCAAAAGTGGTTAACAGTATAATTTCAGTCAGATTTCCAGCTTAGCTTTGCCAGCACTGATTTAAAGCATGCTTTGAGCCAGAAAATGAAGATGCATGCCTGTATATAACACAGGCTGTATTTTAAAATGAATCAGTGGAAGTTGAGGCATTTTCAGACAGCTGCTTAGATTAATGTTCAGAAGCGTATAAATCATTTTCGATAATGTACTAGTATGTATTTTGTGTACTGCGTTGAGATTAATTTGTATCTTTTTGGTGTACATTGCAAGAGATAATACGGTGCTTTGTTTTGATAAGAGAGCACAAAGGGTGTTTCGTGCACATTTGGAATTGCACATGCATGCGTTTCCCACAGTCTCAGATGTAATGAAAACATGGGTAAACTGTTCATATGTTCGTGCTTGTAAAGTTTAAATTAATGGGCTACCCTAATTAGTGTTTTGCCAAAATGATACAGGCACTTAGAGAAACTTTAAATCTAATCCTTGGATATTTAGGTAAACTAACATCATGTATTAAAACTCTTTTTATTTTTTTTTTCCTGAACTCCATAGTTTCAAAACACACTAAAGATTAATGATCAGATTCTTGCAGGTTTTTGGTATTTGTGTAGATAAAAAACTGTTGCTGGCAACAGCCAGCTACCTGTGCCCTACTCTCATGCCTAAATGTTGTTTTTAAAGGGATTGTCTCAAAGTAAAACAGGTAGAACAGGTCCAAAACAGCCCTTACACATTTCACAGGACTATCAGCAAATCGAAGATATTCTTTTGCAGGTTTAAAAATATAGAGTATTTCTGAGGAAGATTAGGAATTTGTTTTGACGTGAACTAAACTGAACCTGTGGGAAATAATCAGTGCATAAACAGTAAACGTCTGTTGCTATGGAAACATGCTGTCAAAAGCTTTTCATATCCTAATACTTCCTTGTATATTTGTAAATGGAGCATTTTCCATGGTATTACAGATATTCCATTCATGGAAACTGTATTCGACCTGCAGCTTTTTAAAGCTGCATGAGTATCTGAGTTATTTACTATATATATTACCCTGAAAAGACATTCTCTCATTGCTGGTTGTGTTAAAAATACCCCATGGATTTAATAAAAAGGTGCTTTGACAACTCATTTTCAGTACTGGCCAAAGAACACACATTTTTTGTACAAAAGCTATATGCACACACACACACACACATATAAATATATATATATATATATATATATATATAATATGCTGTCGGTAGATTCAGAAGAATAATTCTTCAGAGATTTCAAAACTTCAAAACATTGTTGTTTTATATTAATTATGATCATTATAACTTCCAGAAATGTACATCCTACACCCATCAATATGTTTCAAATGTTCTTAAAGTGAGATGAAAAAGAAAATTCAGGTGGGCAATGAATTAGAACATTTATTTCAATGTAAAGTAGCTTAAATCCAACAAAAGTGTATAATATTAGCTGTGCATAATCACTAAGTATTTTAAGGAGGTTTGTCTTGTTTAAACCCAAAACATTTAGTTTTCTATGCTCCTGACTACTGATGTTATAGCAAAATCTCAGGTAAGATCAAAGAGATGTGAGGTCTTTGCAAAGAGGGCATTAGTGGCTAATAAGTCTGGCAAGAGGTTCAAATAGGGCGTTTAATTAAAAATTTAAATTAACAATTTCACTGTTTGCAAAAAAGTCTTCGAGAGGAGGACAATCTAAAGAACTTCCCCCATGTTCAGAACCGGCAGACCGAGCAAATTCACCTGCGATCTTAATGCAAGATGCTAATATAAGTTTTAGAAAAGAAAATCTGAGCACCACACATACATAAGGCAACCACCTCAAGGTTAGTAGCTATTTTTACATGGACAAAGTTTCACGATAGGTTGGAAATGTATTCAGAGTAAAAAAACTAACTTTTTTTGTTTTTTATGGATATAATTAATTAGAATAAAACGGCAGATCGGACTAAAACGATTCATATAAAAATGTTGGTTGGAATATTCTGATTAGAGCTAGCAAGGCTGAAATAAATCATATTAATATGGGAGAAAAGTTGTTTGGGAATCCTTTCATACGTCCCTATGAGCACTCTAAACCTGCCTTCAATGCGCTTTCTGTCAAGTGGTGGGAGCTTATGTGTTCACCTACATGCAGCACTGACAAGGTCTTCAAACATACAGGCTTCTGAAATGTATGTGCAAATAAATAGGTAGCTTTTTTTAAAACTGTGTCTGTGACCTTACGCTCCTTAACATTTAGCATAATGGCCTAATTTTTATGTAACAAAGTGACAGTAGATTACATGGAAATTAGGAGAACCCTGCTATCTCAGTTCCCCTGCTCTGCAGGGCAGTCTTCTCCTGCAGCAGAGTTTCCCCTTATGAGAAAATGATTTAGTGGAGATAACAAGCTGTATTAAACATTACGGCATTATCAATATGTAGAAGTTAGAATGTAACGTAATATATATTCATTGGTCCACAGTCCCTGATATTGAGCGCTGAATGAATATGGAATAATGTTGGTATAGAAATATTTAGCAAGCAGTCTTTTATCCAAAGTACCAAATCAATTTAATTGAAAACCCTGGCTTTGAATATTAACTCAGCAGACAATAGCAATGAATATGCAAGATTCTCCTGTAAACTGACAAAGAAGAACATTTGAACACAGACCATGGTCAGCAGGGAAAAGAACAGTGTGGCGTGACCGACTACATCCTGTGAAGGTTTGCTCCAGCTCTGTTGTGGAAACACACTCTGCGTGTCACCAGAGATAATCTTGGCTGATTGAGTACAACTGTAAATATGTTTGCTGCTGGCACATATTTCCACTCAATATAACCTGAGAACGGAAGGCCATTACAGTTCCAAAGAACACCCGCCATCTTCCATAAACTGCAGTGAACCGCAGCAAATTATCAAAACACCTGTCATAAGGAGGTGGAGCCAACCTGGATATTTTTAGACAGACAATGTGACACATTGTTCACTAAGTCGAATGCAACAACATATGACTTCAGTGGAGTTACCACACCATAAGGGTGGTGGAAAACACGTCACTTTACAGTACTTAAGATTATACCAAAAATATCAGCAATATAACGTTAGCAATTTATATATTGGAAAATCATTTAGTAACTTCAATAATTTAATAAAAATTAATTTAATCAGCAAGATAAAAGACAACTGAAAATATATAAACAATTTTCAATTTCTTTTAAAACGCCACGCTATAACTTTTTACCCAAGTATTAGCTTATTGTGCGATATACAG